CCCGGCCCCCGCACTCACACGTCCACGCTTTTCTGCTGCAGACTGGACGTCTTCTTCCCGGGGGCGGCCCCGCGCAGCTTGCCCTCCGCATACTGCTCCCTGCGGGGGCCGAGTCCGCAAGGTCAGGGGCGCGAGGGCCGCTCTGGGCTGGGGCTGCCCGGCCCCTGACGCCAGGAACCGGGAGACCCCCCAAGCCCCCGACCGCGCGGCCCCGGGCGACAGCGTGCCAGTCCCGGCGGCCGAGCACTCACTGGTTGGCTTTCTGCAGCTCCCGCTGCTTCTGCAGGTTGGTGTCCACGTACTTGAGCACGCGGCTCTCCGGGACCCACTCATCCCAGCTGCGGAGAGGACAGCGGAGGGTCACCCCGGACGCCGCCGCGGGCTCCCCTGCAGTGGCTGTCCCCGCTCCGCCCGGGAAGCAGGCGAGGGCCTTCCCGACCACCACGCTGCGGGCAGCGGCCCGAGGCCCTGGCGCTCAGCCTGCAAGCGGAAGGGCAGGCGCCTCCCAGAAAGCTGTGCCCGAAGACCCCGACTCCACGCCCCAGGCCCCCGTGGCCACAGGCCGAGGCGCCCTCCACACCGGCGGGTTTCTCCAGGGCCGAGCACGCCAAGCCAGCGGGGACGCTGCGGCTCTCCTCCTGCCGAGGCCCCGCGTGCCCGCAGCCGCCGAGACGTCCGCCACAGACGCCTTTCAGAACTGAGCAGCAGCTCGCCGCGGACAGCGTCCCCAGGCCCCGCGTGCCCGCAGCTGCCCCAGTCCCAGCAGTCCCCCCCAGGAGCGACACCGTCTCCGCTGAGGAGCAGAGCGCTCACGGGCGGCCGGCAGAAAAGCAGCTTGGACGTCCGGGGCAGCAGGGGAGGGCCCTGGCCGCCCCCGCACCCCTCACTCATGCACCCGCCTCTGTAGGGAGCCCCCGTACGGCGACACCCCGCGCAGCAGGGGTGGGGTCCCTCGGCGCCCCCCTCCTGGGGAGTCAACGAGAGGGAAACCGGCCGCACAGGCCCGTCCCAGATGGGTCCACTGAACCGGAACCAAGAACAGTGTTTCGAGGCCGCGAAGCCCAAAACCTCCTTTGGGGACGTCCAGACCCCAGAAACCGAGCCTCTGACCCCTCCAGGACTGTCACACGGGGAAGGCCG